TATTCCCCATGTCCACTGGGCATAGGACAACTAGTAATGGGCTTAAATTTAAATGAGACTTAGATTAGAAATCAAAACAGGAGGAGGACAGTTAAGCAGTGGAACAGGCTGGCTAGGAAAGGGGTGGGGAGGGAGGGAGGGGAAGGGGGATGAATGTAGCAGGTAAATAGTGAAGAGGTACCTCAGATGTCAGGCAGGTTATAGTGTTATAAATGGAAGAAATGGAACAACTTACTCCAGGAACAACTTTCCCAGCCACAAAACAACCATCAGAGAAACACCACCAACACCGTACAATATTCCAACCTCAGACTTGAAGAAACTGAAAGCAGCAACCAACCCTCGAATATTAATCTCTCCATGCGCACACTTACCAAAACTAAAAAACCTGTCCTTTCTAAAGGCCTACATTTCTGTCCAGAAAAATACCCTAATAAAATACTTCAATGTGGAGAACTAAAAGAATTCTTCCAATGCCTTCGCCTCAGTATTTCCACAACCAAAATGAATCCACTTCTGACAACAACTCATTCTCTGACAACATCGAGGAAAAGATCAATCCCAAAACTCCCCCAAAAAATCAGATTGGACACCTCACTGCAGATGAAACTCTAACCTTGACCGCTATATTAACTGCTTCAGAGAGAGAATGAACAGTGAAATAACCAACAATACATGCCACCATAACAACCTCTTGCTATCAGAGAGAAAGGCCATGGAATCTCTAAGGTCTACCCACTAAATAGTAATAAAACCAGCAGATAAAGGAGGAGCCATGGTCATCCTTAACAGTAAAGACTACATAAAAGAAACCAACAGACAACTCTCTGACACCACCTACTACAAAGAACTACAGGAAGGTCCCACTCCCCTTTTCACCTTGAAAGTGAAAACTACCATCAAATCATTTCCATCAGAACTACAAGAAAAACTACAGACCTTGATCCCCCCCCTACTGCCTAACCCAGGGACTTTTTACATGCTCCCTAAAATCCACAAACAACGGAACCCTGGCAGACCTAACATATCCAACCATGGAACTCTAACTGAGAAAATATTAGGTTTCTTTGAATCAATTCTAAAACCGCTTGTCACCCAAAGAGCAAGTTTTGTCCAAGACACTACAGACTTTCTACAAACACTTAAAAACATAGATCACCTCCCAAGCAACACCCTCCTAGCCACCATGGATGTTACCAGCTTATATAACAACATCCCACACCAGGATGGCATCCAAGCCTGCCTTACATAACTACAAGAGCAAGATTACAACTCAGAGTACAGACCCAAAGATATTACTGACCTTATACACTTCATCCTTACACACAACAATTTCACTTTTACAAAACACTTTTCACAGATGAGCCTATGGACTTCACTTCATCAACCTCCTGGATACGAAAAATCATGGGCTAAATATAGACATTGGATTTATGACGCACTATAACCTGCCTGATATCTGACTCCCCAGATACATCTCCACTATTTACTTGCTACATTCAACCACCTTCCTTCCCCCCCACCAACCCTGCCCAGCCTGTGTCTCACCCACTGACTCCTCAATTTACATCTTCACTGACTGGCTTTCTTGCATGCCCCTGGCCTCTTTACTATTCATTTCATCCTGTTCATCAGGGTACCCCTTGGAGTAATTAGGAATAACAGCCACAAACTGATGGAGAACAGATTTAGGTTAGACATCAGGAAGAACTTCTTTAGGTAAGGGTTGCCAAAATCTGGAATGGTCTTCCAAGGGAGGTAGTGCTCTCCCCTACCTTGGGGGTCTTTAAGAGAAAGCTAGACATGCACCTGGCTGGGGTCATTTGACTCCAGCCCTCTTTGCTGCCCAGGGCAGGGCGTAAGACTCGATGATCTGCTAAGGTCCCTTCTGACCTAAACATCTATGAATCTATGTTTTCCTCTTTGTGTTGCATAACTGTGTATTTTCCTAAAGTTTCAACCAATATACACTCTGGCTAAGTACAGACAGTCAAAAAGCCTGAGGCTGAATCAGTTCAGTCTTTGCAGGTTAGTCTAAACTGCAGAGAATAAACTGAGAAATAAACTGAATAGACATTCACTTTTGATTCAGGAAATGCAGCCACATGCCTACAGTGGTTCAGGTCAGAAATTGGGGGACACTAATGCACACCTCTCTGGAACATAGCCAGTATGGGCTGTATGTTCACTTCCTCTTCCTGCTGCCCCCAAGGTCTCTGAGATTTGTTGTGCACAATCACAGCATTAGGACTCTGCGGGTTGCTCACCACTTCCTTTTCCTGCTTCCAGGATTTGTAGTCCACAGTCACAGCCAGCAGTAACCTTTTAGCAGGGCGGGGCAGCTCTGTACTGAGGGGAAGGGAAGTTTAACCCCCTCCCTGGCCCCAGATCCCAGCCAGGGTTTGCCTCAGAGGGAAGGAGGGCAGTCCCTGTCCCCCCCACAACCGTTCTCTGCTACAGCAGACAGCACAGCCCAGCCTAGGGCTGGAAAGCATGCTGGGATGCTGGAGGACTGTGATTTAACTTGAAATGGGAAGGGATCTAGGACAGAAGTTTCATAAACCAGTTTGACCCAAATCAGTTAAGTCGAATATTACATTCAGCCAGGTTTATCTTAAACTAGTTTCAGCCATTTTGAAACTGGATTTTGTGCACTGCACTCCTGTTTTATTATAGGTTTAAACCAATAAACCTATTCCGATGACTTAAACTGGTTTATGTATAATTTCTGTCCCTAGCCACTCTTAAAGAGCCCAATCCAACCACATATATGGTTGATTCCTTTATTCCAGCATGCGCTCTGGACTTGAACACAGATTACATTAAATAGTGGTATTATGTACAGTTAGAAATACATTTTATCATAAATGGTGATAAGATACAAACAAATAGGATGTCCAGTGAAACCCTGGCCACAATGCAGTCAATGATAAAACTCAATTTGATGTCACTGAGGATAGGATTTCATCCATAACAGCTTGGTCTAGTTTCCAATTATCATAACTAAGTAATTTGCTCAAAGCAAGAGCCTGTAAAGTGAACAAAATATGCACATATTTGGAGCCAATATAATATGCATTTATTTCCACAAAAACAGATATGAGTATAACAAAAATGAAGTGTAGTCAGAAATGTTGACACAATTAGGACATCTGAGGAAAGTTTACATCAAAGTACAGGAGCACATATAAACATTAGATCTTCATTCTCACACTTCTTTGTTGCTAAAATTTAATAACCAATCAGCTTAATATGAGGATCACTTTCTTATTTCTTGGAACCAACCAACAGATATCCTCTGTTATGCAGCAGCATGAAGAAAAAAATAACTATCAATCTTGTTGAGAATACAAAACTAGGATTCATGTCTTGTTGTTACTAACTCCTATCTGCATCTCTCTAAATAGCATATTAGCTTGGTTTCACATTAAAATTAATGTGGCCTATATGATGGAAGTGGGGACTAGGGATCAAACTCCAGATGTGGTGTATCCATTTGCTAAAACAACATTAATGGCACCAGTAAGAGCCATGAATACTTAGCTTGCTCTACCTCTCTGTCCTGTACTGAGTACTGTAGATGCTCTGTAACTAGGATGACCAGATGTCCAGGATTGGCTGGGACAATCCTGGATTTCAGAGGCTGTCTCAGAGTCCCAACTATTAGAAAAAATTGAAGCAAAAGTGCCTGATTGGCAGGAACCCATCTGCACATGTGGCTCCTGAGTCAGGATTGGGCCCGTACAGGTGGGTTTGTGCCAATCCTGGACTTTTGCTTCAATTTTCTCCAGGAAGCCCAGCCAGTGCATTACTCCCTGGTCCAGACCCTGCTGGGCTGCATATGGAGTTGCTTGCATAGTAGAGTCGGGGTCAGGGGAAGGGTGCATGTGGGGAGCCATGGGGGTTGGGGCTGAGTGTGCATGTGTGTGTGCATGCATGTGTGGGGGGTCAGGACTGTGTATGTGTGTGTGCATGCATGCACACTATGCTGTCCCATCCAGTCCTGCTCCTGGGAGCCATGAGGTTCTGTGTGTGTGTGTACATGTACATTTGCATGAACACCCCAGCTTTGCCCCCCTGTCACAGATTTCCTTACCCTGTCTGGGATTTCCCACAAATTTTTATGGTCACCCTACGTGTAGTGCTAAGGTTCTATGGACTAGAATCAAAATGCATTAAAGTCAAAGAGAACCTCTTGAATGGCTTCATGGGCATTGTACCAGACCCTAAGGCTAAGTACAGATGGTAAAAAAGCCTAAGGCAGAATCGATCCAATCTATACAGCTTTCTCTAAGCTGCGTAGATTGGACCATCAACAACCATAACTCACAGTTGCTCTTCAGCTGGAGAAGCAGACAGATGCCTGCACAGGTCAATGCCACTAGGTGGGAGGTGCTCTCATATGCTTCCCAGCATGAGGGACATTACCGAGGGCACCTGAGCACAGCTGAGTGGCTGTGCCATCCCTCATTGGCTGTTAGACACATGCCTCCCCCCAGTGCCCTATCATCTGTCAGGCAGCAGGGCTTTGCCCAGGGTGGGACATGGGGGTCCACCCCATGCAGGAAAGAAGCAGAGGAGTGCAGGACTTGTGAGCTGCTGGTGGGGAGGTGATGCCAGTGGTGTACCCTGTGGTCCTGGCCGGGTCGGTGGGGCACAAAGTGTCCCTGCCCTGTCCTACCCAGGACCCTGTGCTGCAGCAGATCCGGGAACGGCTCAGAGGATCCCCCCCACCCCACTCCATCCTGTGACCGTTTCCATGCAGCTGCAGTGCTCTGGTCCATGGGGAGGGGGGAAGCCATGCCCCCATGGCTGCAGCGCCTGGCAGGGGGCAGTGGGTTCCTGTGTCAGGCTGAGCTAGCAGCCACCCTTCTCCTGCCTGAGCTGAGCCAGCCCAGCTGGCAGCAGTCACTGCTCAAACAGCAGGTAGGGCTGGGTGGGGGCTTGCCTAGGTCCTTGGGCTGTGCCCCTGTGTCTGCATGGAAATCACCCCCTACCTTGTAAGGGGAGGGGGGCAGTCATTCCCACATAGCTGCAGTGCTTGGGGCACAATTCTAGTGCAGGAACTGGGGCAAGGGAGGGGCCACTGCCAGCTCAGCCCGGCACAGGGACCCATTGCCCTTTCCTCCCCACTACATCTCAGCACTGGAGTTGCCCTCTACCATGTTCTGCAGCTGCAGAAGCATGGCTGTCCTCCCTCCCCGTGGACTGGAGGCCCTCAGCAGCATGGAACATGGCACTGGTGGTTTGGGGAATCTTCTGAGCCCTTCTCAGAGCCACTGCAGCGTGGGGTCCCAGGGCTTGGGGTCATGGCAAGGACCCTCTGTGCCCCTCAGACTTGGCTGGGAATGCAGGGTGGGCCACTGGCACCACCTCCCCCCAACAGCTCACGAGCCAAGCTGTGGCCCCTCGGGGGGATGGGGGACACTCACAAGGGTCACACAGGCAACTGGGATACCAGCAGAAAACGACTTACCTTAATTTGCGATCAGATCTGGCACTGATATTTGATGCACCAGTCCAACCTAGCTCAAGTAAGTCTAATAATACATGGATCCAGTCCTATCTTAAACCAGAATCTGCAATTTTGAAATTGTGCCCTGAACTTCTGTTTTGTTTTGGGTATAGACAAGTTTCTGACCACCTAAACCGGAAAAAGTGTAATGTCTGTACTTAGCCTAAGTCCGCAGCATTGAAATATGAAGCCCCTACTTCAAAGATCATACTTACAGCTGATACTTATTATCCTCAGCCTTATAGAGGCATTGAACCCTAATGTTTCATGGTATTTATCCTGCATAAATAGGTGTAAATTGCATTATTCTTGGAGAACTTTCCTCTGTGGCATTTTTCATAGAAGTATTCCACCCTCTCATTTGATTTTACATATTCTAATAGGAAGAATATCACCCAAAATATTTTGCTTAACTTGGAAAACAGAGGTTCTGATTTCTCATTTACATCCGTTTGGACTCAGAAAGGTTTACATGCACTTTTTAAGACCCTTTCACAGAGCTCTGTCAGAGAAAGGGGCCTTAATGTCAATGAGACCTGAGCCAAGAACATTTCGGGAACCAAAAACAGCTTCCTAGACCAATATAACTTACCTTCTGAAATGTATTTTTATCTCTAACCCTTTCCTGCCTTTTCATTATATGTTTCACTTTTTCCTAGTAACAAATATGTGTTTGTTACTAGGAAAAAGTAACAAATGTTGATCTCATTTAAACTGCTTCAGTAAATTATTCTGCTAGTAAATCATTCTCTATTCTTATTTCCCTCAGTTCCCTATTTAAACTAAGTTTCCTATTATGCCCCTTAGTCTCAGGAACACCAAAGTACAAAAAAAGTCTTTCCTCTTTGACTTCTCCAATCCTACAAACCTGGAACCATTTACTGTCACCTCAAGGCCTTACCTTTGTCAGCAAGAATAAACCCAAATCCTTACCCTTGCACAAATGAAAGCATGGCCAAACAATTTTAGTGTTCTTAGAAGAGGTAAGGGGAATTTACCACTTGTGAACATGTGTCAGCTGATTTGTGGTATTTGTTTTGTCTGTTTCCTCCTGTCCCACAGAATGTGAAGCTATAAACCCAGCTTCATTCAGGGATAAACTGTCTCCACTTAATGTGTGTTTCCCACAGGACAAGAGTGGACAGACAAAGCAGTTACAGTGGATACAGGTGAACCACTGTAAGTACCCCTCCCCCCCATTTAAAATAGTAAAATTGTTTGTTCATTCACCCACTAAGACTCTTCACCATTGCCCTTCATTACATATGCAAACATAATATATCCTTCCTGTGGTGACCCACAGTACACAGAGCGCACAGACCAAAGTCTGTTGAAGTCAGTGGAAAGTCTCCAAATCCCCAAGTCTATAAAGGATTCTTTCTGTGTAGATTTGTATACTGGTATAAATTTTGTTTGCTCCACTGGGACTCTGCACAGTCATGATCCAAAAAAGTGGCTCCTTTTGCACTGTGGGGCTTAGCACAAGATGACTTCTGGGAGGGGAGGGAAGTGGAGAAGAGGCAGTCCTGCTCTTCCACTAGAGCTAACAACCATAGTTGTACATTGAATTAACTTCAGTGATTTTCAGTACTAATCTCTAAATCTATTTTTGATCAAGGCACTATATTTTTTGTTTTACTCCATATGTATTCTTGAGACTTGATTCACATCAACAGGCTACTTCTTTTTTGCATCAGACTGTGGTTGTCATCTGCTAACCTGATCACTTAGCAAACCAGAACCCTCTGAATCTGAATATTGTGTCTCCTCATATACTCTATCTTTAATCTTAGTAGCATTTATATACGTGGGGTTCTCATACTCAGTATTATTGTCCATATCATGAGTGTAAGTTCTGCACAACAAAAAGCTTAAAGTAGACTGCGGGGTAGGAAGGTGCAGTTACAATCTGTAAAATTTGCCATCAACAAATCTGCAAGTGTGAATCCCTAACTGCTTGACTTGAACATACAATTGAAATATGAGTGCAATTTTTGCAGCTGCAAATCGCTGCCCCAAAAGTAAAGACTGAGCATTGAGTCTTTTGAGGATGTACTTTCATGACCTCAGTGAAGTTTTAAAAGTATTCACTTAACACTTCCCCTTAAGCTTTCTTTTCTCCCTGTTTTGTGATTATTTTATGACTACCTCAGACATGTCTGATTTTTGCTTATTTGCACTGTCTTGTAGCTGAACCCTTTATGGATTGACATAAGTAACTGCCAAAATGTCATTGACAGTATTGTTTGCTGCAGTTTGCTGCATTTCATTGACCTAACTTTTGCCATAGCATATGAAGCTTAAGTCTGATCATGTAGCTGTGGACCTGTATGTGTAAGCTGATTTAACAAGAAAAACAAGAGATACAAAACTGCATATTTAAGATTAGAAAGCAAATGGGCGTTGTGTACACACTGAGGGAAGACTAGTCCCTTAAGAGAATTCAGTAGACATAAGAATAGAGCTTTTACAGCCAGAGTTCACAGCCCATGTAATAAAGTTGAGTGTCCTATTTAAAAATCCAATCTTACCAAACTGTGTATTAGAAAATATAACATGCAAATGCTGTAGGCTTTCCAAATACAGAAAAATGATAAACAGTCAGTTATCAACCTGCTGTTTTGCCTCTTATTAAAATGCAGTTTGTAATCTGCAGTGACCATGAAAACTAAACTAACTTGCTTAGACTTAGAAACAAAGTAGTTTTCAATTAAACAAAAACATAAAATGATCTGTTGAGGTCCCTTCCGACCCTAGCATCTATGAATCTATGAATCTATAAAATGTATAGACACTCAATAGTCAAAAAAATGGTTCAATGAATAGTTGCAAAATTATTTTATTTGTATTAGTCTGTAGATGACATTTAATTTCAGAAAAGAGCTACTGGATCAGAAGTTACTAGTTAGACTCCAGCTACTAAGAAAAGATGTTGCAAGTAGCTTCTATTAGAAGTGAGAACAATATCACACTGATTCTTATGTTCATCTTTCATCACAATATATAGCTTCTCATTCACAGGTCATCCGTTTCTGGAACAGCATTGGAATCAGAACGCTGGATGAACACTACAGGAATATTCTCAGACACCCATCCCTTAGGAGTCCTATTGAAGGACCTCCTGCTGGACAAAGGGCTTGCAAGGACCATGAACCTGGGATCATTTAGCAGCAATAGATTAAAATCTGGTACCTTGAATTTAACCAGCTTCGAGGCTCTCTCAAAACCACCAAATGGAGTGGCAACTCTGTAGATATCGAAAAAATAAAAATGAAATGTGATTTTAAAATAGCCGTTTCCCATTTCTGAAACTAATAGAGGGCTTTTGAAATGATCTTTCCCTTTGCAGTACAGCAATTTATAAACTTACTGCTTTCTGACTTCCTTTGACAAACTTTTGGTAAACATAATATACTAATAAGTTTTCCAGCACATTTTCTTTAATGTCTTATTTGTTCTCTGCTAGATACATGTTTATTCTTAACCTTTCCGATAGTCACCCAATATCTGTTGCCAAATATTTGTTTGCTCATTTGTCTGTTCAAAGATGATACTTCACGAATCCAAAACTTAGGTCTGAAACAGTCTTAATCTGGCCCAGTATTTTTAATGGTATTTAATAAAGGTATATGTTTCCTCAGGCAATAAGCCAAAAAGCAAAAGATAAGAAATACTTCTCTGCGTGAGCACATTGTTAAATGTATTTGCACATATTTTAAAAGAACAGTAATTCCAAATACATTTCATAGTTCTTTTGTTCTTGCTTGGTCCTAGGCTGAGAAACTTTAGAGTGGTTTCCTTCTGGCTTTTCCAGAATCTCATGTATGAACAAACCTGACCCAGCAGAGAAAATTGCACCACATGTGGCTCTATGTTTTGGTCAATCAAATAGCTTTATTGGTACATATTATGGATGGTAAAGAAGTGACCAGCATTTGTCAACTAGACCTGGACCTTTTGATTTACACAAAATCACATCAATAGCTGCACATGCAAATGAATTCCTACTGAAAACTGTCAGCTGGTTCACTTAGGATTTGTGGATCAGTTACAGAGCAAAAGACAAAGTATGCTGGGACTACTAGTCCCACCAGCAGAGTCCCAGAGAATCTAGTGAATCAGCTAAAGCTGAAAAAGATTTTTTGCAGACTACTAGAATTTCCAGCAAGGCTTAAACAGGTAAAACAAAACTTAGGATCAAATAAGCAAACTCACAAAAATCCAGACATCCACAAAATCACAGAGCAGGATTAACTAGAGATTTCTTGCTGTAAATTGGCACTAGCAAGCATCCTCCAAAGAGCCAACTGCCTCCAAAGGTCAATCCCTACAAGGTGCAAAGTGCCTTCTGTACAGTTCTGGGCACCCTCACTGAAAGGCAAAGAGTGTGCTTTTGGGATCAGGCCCTAAAACTATGACTTACATCAGGGGTGCCAAACATCCAGCCTGCAAACTAGATCCACCCATGGCATCTGGCCTGACAGGCTATGGGTTTTGGGGCATGAATAGGTGGAGATGGGGCCTACCACAAAATTTGGTTCCTGGGCCCTGGTGAACAAGGGCCTCAATGTCAGGAATGCTCCTGAACATGGGTGGTTGCTTGCCCTACCACTTCTCCCATCCCATGCCCCAGGCTGGATCTGGCCAATGAGGAGCCCTGGAATCCAGATCCATGTTGAGACCTGGGGGCAAATTTGACTCCCCAACTTAGATATGTATAAGACATGATTTTGCAACAGCACTGGCCACTCTATTCAACAAATTCTTCTTGAAGCCATTGGGAGTCCTTCGTATTCAGCTGCTATAGAACTAAGCCTCTGTTGTGAAATTCTCTTCCAGGTCACCCAAGCTGAACTGAATACCATACCTTACTGACTAAAAATAAATTGCTCTATAAGCAGCACAGAGTGTGTTCACTGATCCACACAATACTGGGCAATAAGGATGAGATGAATTTAATTAAAATATAAATTTGTATGTTACAGTTAATCTAATATTTAATGCTTATTGATTTGTAAATTAAAGGAATAATCAGTATAAATGTAATTGCATTATCTAAGTAACAAAACCAAATTTTCTATTGCAAAAAGTTAGCCTTGTAATATTTATAATTTTTCTTTGTATAGATACAGCACAGCTGTTTAGATAATAGGTGTTTGTATTATGAAAATTCCATCAATTACTTTTAATTTGACAGTACAAACGTTGGCCTAGTTGTGTTATACATCATTAATACCTACCTGCATGCTATTAAAAAACTCTTGATGATCAACATAAAGGAGATCAAAGTAATTGGGCAATAAAAATTTAAATTGTCCTTAATGATATCAGTAAATTGCTGTATTTGATAGCTTCTATGACAAAAAGTTATTGTAATGTCCTACATTGTTTGCAAATTAAGTATAGAACTTGAGCTGTGATTCACTGTGTGTAACCCAAAACCTGTGGCTAAACAATTTGAAATAGTTGTTGCATATAACAGGAAAGGAAACATTGAGATAAGGCAGCAGGAAGTAGCACCAGGAAGTTTAGGAGGTTGTTTAAAAGTCACTTTGCATATTCCTAAAAAGTCAGTAGATTATTTTAAAATATCTTGGCACCAGCATAGGTATTTCCCCTGCTGTATTATAATTGTTTCACTGATTTTTAATATCACGTATTAAATTGTCCCTATGAAACAAATGATTTGCAGCTGACGTATTTGGAGTTGGCAGATTAACAATTTTGGTTCAGCATCTCCAGTTATATAATTACATGAGTTTGACAGAAAACCCTATTTCTCAGATGCCAAGACCTCTTTAAAAATGTGAACATAATTCTCTGAACATTTCTGTTCATTATTAATCTTATGGACAAGGGAAATGTAAGGGCAGAGACCTTGCTACGTGCCCAATATCTCTGGTAGACGGAGTGCATTTGATGAAGTGAGCCACTGCTGCATCTCTGATATAGTTAGTCTGTGGATGCATCTACATGTGCATTAATACACTTTACCTAATGTGCATTAAATTTAGTACCACCAATGTGAGGCACAAATAAATGCTCATTAGGCTGTCCTAATGTATAGTACCGAAAGTGAATGTTTTTAAATGACACTTAATGTGCAGTAGCTTAATTCATTACGAATTAGTGTAATTGCATGCTTTTTTACATGATGATTTACTGCACAGTAAAATAGGCTACTGCACAGTAAAGCACACATGTAGACTACTAGACTCACCCAGTAAGGTGCAAATCTACTTGACCTTTAAATTGAGTGCTTCAACACTATACAGGTAGCACTTCTGCTCACACACTCAAAAGAGCTATTTATATGCCTACCTTCATTTCTTATCAATGAACCAGATTTAATCATAACACATCAATGGGAATTTGCCACTTACATAGGAGTTAGGCATCTAAATACCCTCGAGGATCTGGACCTTAGGTTGGGACCTTTGTAAACAAATGAAAAAAGCACAATCCAGATGGACTGGATTCTTCAGTGTTTTGGAAGCAACAGAATCTGTGGAGGGAGAAGTCTGAGCAAGAACTTGGCTATCCAAAGAGGCAGAACCAGTCAGACCTGCTTGTCAGATGTAGGCTTGCTGCAGTGTTTTGCATGTCACCTATAATGCTATTTTTGATACCCATTAGAAGTGGTAGAGGGATGGTACTAAATTGATCTCATATTACAGATTTATATCCCTACTAACACTGGTTACACACCTTTCAAGGAATGACAGTAAACTCCTAATCCAGAAGAAATTGCGGGGGGGGGGGTTTACTACCACACCCTCCCCCTATGGGGACTTGCCAGGGCTGCTGACCCTTTTCCATGTAAACCTGAGCCAAATCAAGACCATTAACTGTATCAATTCCTTACATCTCATTCTATTCCCATTACAGTCAGTTGTAAAACTTGGACTGATGTGTGGTTCAGACTAGGCCCTACATAACTGGAAAAGGAAAATAGTATACTTCAGCACAAGTTCTGAGTCCTTTTTATTTTAATGCATTTTTTAAGACAGTTTTGATTTTAGGTCTCCTGCGTGTGGGTTTCATTCAACACTCCTTACTCATTCCTTAGTCAGGAAACATTCCCGGTGAGGTCAAACTGATTCTACTGACAATGACATTAAGGGAAAGAATCCTGGAAGGATCCTATATTTGGCTACTAAAATCAGTGTCATCTTAATTAGTTTAGATGATTGGTCTGAGAAGAATCCCGATACCACTCCATTTATATCAGGCTCATATCAGCCACCCTTTTTATTCTCTCCTGATTGACAGTGAGTGTTCTGCTAGGCACAGAATTACCAGTCACTGAGACACAGTTCTTCCTGGAATGACATAGTGAGATTAGAAACTCCGAGTTCCTGGCTAACAAAGTGATGTCATTTTCTGTTCAATATTTTATCATTTGCATTTTCCCCAGCACTGTAATTACAGAAATGAATTGCCTAAGCACTTTGTCCCAGGTCTTCAAAAGGACTTAGATGCTTCAATCCTAATTGAAAAAGCAGTTTTAGGGGCATGAACTAGCAACTAAATTTCCCTTCTCCCATGTAATCTCTGATCCAAGCAGTCAAGAACCTGCTGGGGCACTGACTTTTTTTTTTCTTTTGTGAGACTATGAATTTACATTAAACAGTCGTGGGAGAAAATGTATAAGCAGGTATGCAAGCAAGGGCTGGATCCCTTGCAGGCAAGTGACACGACCACTGGACTAAAGAGCTATATTCCTTTTGTCTGTCTGTCCTTGACCATTGGATCTTGAATTCTTTTCATAGGTACCACAAGAAGGATGGTGAGGGTTGTTGTCCTTGACTCCAGAACTGCCAGTACAGGGATGATTCTGGCTTTATTTTGGGAGGTGAGAGACATCCCCTCAGGCTGAAGAGAATATTAAATCCAAGTCTTCCACATCCCGTGCAACTGCTCTAGCCAGTGAACTATTGGACTAAAGTGGGCATCACCTTCTACCCCACCTGTGTGTTAAAAGAAAAAGAGTGTCCTGTGCTCTGTTTCTGAAAGAAATGACTTAGACACACAAACCTAAAATAGGGTTTCAGGCTGAGAATCCCAATCTCAGATCAGCACCTCCCTTCATTCCAGATTGCTCTCAATCTGAGGCACCTGAATGATAGGAATTAAATTCCTCCCATGTTTTAGTATTTCCTATTGACTGACTTAGGCAAATTCCCACTTACCATGCTGGCTGTCATGGATCCCATGCTGAGATACCCAACTTGTCTCATGCTCTGT